CCCCCTCTCTCTTGCTCTTTGTGTGTGTGTGTGGCCTCTCTCGCTCTGTGTGTGTGTGTGTGTGTCTTGCTCTGTGTTTTTGTGTGTGGCAGCACCTCACCAAGTGGTTTGGAAAAAGGACCAAGGCTCGGGCAGACCAAGCTGCAACAGTGCTCTGTCCATCTCCTCCTCTCTCTCTCTCTCCCCCCCTCTCTCTTGCTCTTTGTGTGTGTGTGTGGCATCTCTCTCTCTCTCTCTCTTTCTCTCCCTCTCTCTCTCTCTCTCTCTCTCTTGCTCTTTGTTTTTGTGTGTGGCCTCCGCTCTCTCTCTTGCTCTGTGTTTTTGTGCGTGGCCTCCGCTCTCTCTTTCTCTCTCTCCCTCTCCCTCTCTCCCTCTCTCCCTCTCTCTGTTGCTCTGTGTGTGTATGTGTTGCCTGTCTTATTGTCTCACAGCTGTGCCTCTTCTTTGCCCTTTTTTTTTGTGGCCTTGCAGGCGAGAAAGGGTTTGGATATAAGGGTTCGGAGTTCCACAGAGTGATCAAGGACTTTATGATTCAAGGTGGAGATTTCACCAGAGGAGATGTGAGTACCCGTAACGGATGGCTATATTTAGATATTCCTCTCTTGACAGCTTATGCTGATGGCGTCTATAACTGCCACTCGGTCTCATAAAGAAATTCAAAACGAATAATTCATCAATAAAACGAAATTGACCACAAGAGATTTGTGTAGTGCCTGACCAGGAAGGTATCTGAATACACAAAGCTGGGCTGTTTGTGCATGTGCGTGGGCATGGAGTTATGTGCCCGCACACACGCCCGGGCGCCCGGTCGGGCACGACCTCCGGGTGGGGATCTGGGTGGCCCCATCATAGATAAATTTAATTAAAAAAAGTAAATGCGAACAACGTTTGGCTGATGGTCATCCCATGATTCCTTACTGAATCAAAGATAAAAAAGGAAAAAGAAAAAGAAAATCAAACCAAGGCACCCCCCCTTTAAACCCCCTTAAAACCCCGTTCATACCCCCCTTCCCCCCCAGCAAGGGACAATACTGAAAAAGGAAAACGATCATGGATATGGAAACTGCTTTTTTTTTGGGGGGGGGGAAGGCACCCCCTCTTTAAACCCCGTTCATACCCCCTTGGTAGCCTTTTAACAAAAAGTTAATAGTAGGAAAGAATTGTAGAGGGCTTCCCTAGGGTGTTTTGTAAGTTGAAATCGACCGTGGTATGTCTAGAACCTGGCCTCTATAATAACCAGGGATTTATGAAATAAAATTATATAAAAACAAATTGCTCCTTTTATGTCCTCCAGGGTGTTTTGCAAGCTGACAGCCTTGCGATTGAATGAATTTAGAAAAAAAAAACAAAAAAAAAACCGTACGAATGAAAGCAATCTGCAAAAACCGAGTGTCATGAAGTTTGACTTTTCGAACTTGGGGTAGATTCATCATGGTTAACTGTAATAGAAGGGACTTTTTCTGAGATGAATCTGGCCTCGATAACGGCAAGATTCGGACAAGAAGTAATAGAAGGGACTTTTTCTGAGATGAATCTGGCCTCGATAACGGCAAGATTCGGACAAGAAGTAACAGCGCAAGGATTGATTGCCCTTTTAGATGTACTACCACATAGTACAGCCTGTTGTGTTCCTGTGTTCGTGTGTTCCCCTTTTTTTTTTTTTTTTAAGACAGAGTCAAAGTGAGGGTGCGTTGTGCTATGTGAGGTGGGTGATAAGAGCAACCCTCCCCTAGCAGGCTTTCTGGTTGCTCCAAGCTACCGTCTTCCCCCGAACACAACGCACCCTCAATTTGACTGTATAGGGCCGAAAACATACCCGTTGTATACGTTCATTTTCAGGGTGCATTATGTTCTGGGGGAGAGGGTAGTCTGCAGGCCTGTGGTATTTCCTGGTGCATTTCCTTAGTGTGAACGCACTGTGTTCCCGGTCCCTGATGTTTCAGACCTGTAGTGTTGCTTTTGTGTTCCTTGGTGTGGAAGCGGGAGTGTTCCTTGGTATGTTACGGACCTGCGGTGTTCCTTGGGTATGAAGGCTGCACTGTTCCTGGTGTCTTCCTGACCTCTAGCGTTCCTTGCTATGCGTGTTGTTGGCTGAGTGCTCCTGCTATGTCCCAGTCATCCAGTGCTGCTGTTGTGCTCTCTTGTACGGGTGCGGGAGTGTTCCCTGGTCTGTTCCAGACCTGTAGTGTTCCCTGGTTTATTCCTGTCCTGGTCTGTTCCCTGGTCTTTTCCAGACCTATACTGTTCCTTGGTATGTTCCAGACCTGTACTGCTCCCTGGTTTGTTCCTCTCCTGGTCTGTTCCTTGGTCTGTTCCAGACCTATACTGTCCCTTGGTCTGTTCCTTGGTCTGTTCTTTGGTCTGTTCC